TTCTTAAGTCTTTCTGAACCACTCAAGCGGCTTTGCACTACGTGCCCACATTTAACCGCCTTTCATGCACACATTCACTCAGGTGATGGGCAAAGTCCATCGAAGAGAACTAAAATCATTCACCCCACCATTGCTGTGGCATTTCAGGAGCCAATTTGGGGTTCAGTATCGCTTGCTCAAGGATACTTCGACCACGGTGGGCAGGGAGGAGCCGGGATCGACTCCAACAACCTTTCCGACTTGGGGGGACGACCCGCTTTTGCCTCTGATCCGCCCCGTAATTGTCATTACCTATTGTATCATTCTTTCTCTCTTTCCTCCTCGTGCTTTTTTACGAGCTAACTGGTCTGTAGGTACAGAGCTATATATAATGTATATATATATGTAATATTATATATATATTATATTATATTTATATTATGTTATACTATAATTATATAGTATATATATATGTAATATATAATATATAATATATATATGTATATATATATTATATATAAATATTAATATATATAAACGTTTTAATAACGGTTATATAACGAACACGCAACTCCTAGGTGCAATTCAAAACTTCAAATGTATTAGCCGCTAACCACGAATTAACTTTCAATTAAGTTAGCCTTTTCTGTTAAACCTTTACTGCGTGCCTGACGGACTTTTATAACCGAGATTGTGTATAATGTTTTACCCAGAAATGTCTAATAAGGAGAGAACTTCCACCTTCGTTACACTTCTGGGCTTCTGAAAACTGTTGCAGTTCCCCTCTGGGTTCCATGTGAGGGCCTTCAACATATGGGTGCAGAATGAAAGATGGAGCTTCTATTGAGCTATAACCCCTCCAAAATCCCACTTTTCTTCCAGGATATAATTTTTTTTTAGTAGATTTGAATGTTCATTCGAAAGGGGAATGCAAGAATTACCACCTTGCTGGGTGTTCAATTCTTTTTAGAGTCACCTTATTTGCTTTAAAAAGTTCTTTTAAAATTGTCAATTGATTGTCATACAACATCGTTACGGGCCAGAGATACTGCTTTACGGGCAAGCCTTGAGTCACTTTGTGCTTCTGCGCTCTTGCACTTCCTTTCCTCTCGCGGGCATCGACAAACACAGGCTGACACAGGGTTAGGCCTCTCCTGGTCAATACTACGTCCTAGAAAAGAAGTTTTTGTTTTTGCTGGTTTTAAAACCACCACGCCGAAATATGCATATTCCCGCTTCGGATGCCACGATGCCATCAAGGGGATCCTACTTGGTCGTAATCAAGTTCCTTCACTGAATCCAATCAAGCGTTTCATTATGGCAGGGAATGCTAGCGTATGTTATTTGTCAACATACAAGCTCCAACCTGTAAGAAATCGAAAGGACAGGAAAAGTACTCGTTTCATTCAAAACCTTTCGACCTATAAACATGGTTGGAACTTGGCAAAAAAACTTACAATCAAATCTGAGATTTCTCCAGAACCGGTCAAGGTTCAGGTTTGAAAGGGGACAATTTAAGGCCATCTAAGGCTCCATCTGCTTTCGCCCATTCATTCTGCCACTCATAGGCGAAACCCCCAGTGGGAACTCTGGTTCGGAACTGCAACCCAAAATTGGTTCGGTACAAATGGGGAGTTCATAGGGAGTGGCCCATGGCTCTCCGGTTAGGATGGTGGCTCTGGTTTTACTGGACCAACCATAAAGCACCTGTAAGAATAGACAGCACGGCAGAGTTCAAAGGTTACGTTTACAAGGTTTCATAGGGACAATGTTAACGTTTCAACGTTATTGCGTACTCTTTAGGCTAAAACAATTTAGCGCAAACAGTAACGCGGCCAGAACTGCTTCTTTCAATTACTGATAATGACCGAGTGCACGGGCTGGGTAAAAAATAAAAAAACAAAGGAACACGAACCCAAATCTTTTTCTTTACCAGCGCTTACGAATATGTTTTATTCTTCTTGCTTTTGTAACTTAACCCACAGTAAATGAAAAGTTTCCTTCCGTTACTTTCAAAATTCTTCTTGCTCGCCAAACGGTAGCCATCTTGAATTTTTTAGAAACGTGAAGTCCGAGCCTGAACGTCGTGACATCGATGACGCCAGACGCTACGTCCCTCCGTTAACTCAGAAGTTATGATTTAGACACAAATGTTCACTCAGAAAAATGTATCCACATAAAATTAAAACAACATCAATAGTTAACAGCACTTAATAGTTAAGTGCTCTGTTGACTCATTAGCTGGTTTTGAGTTCTGTGCCCATATTTCTTATGAGTTAGCAGGACTGTTCGGGCTTACAGTGTGGAACTGAAACTCTAATCTCATCTTGTAGCTAAATATTGTGGGTTGCAGTTTAAGTTAGAGGAAATTATGAGCAATATGACATGATGATTCAGTAAGTTTAGCTAACAAATATCATAAACATTACTCATTGGCCCAGACCAGATAGTCTATGTTCACTGCTGGTGTATAATTCAGATCTCCGTAAGATTAGCTACTGCATATACATATACATATATCACGCCAGTGTTAGTGTAGACACGGCGTGAATTACACAGTGGCTTTCAGGGGAGCCCTATTTTATGGTACGCACTGCTAATATACATGTCACATGCAGCGCAGTCATTTCCACAAAAAAACATTCTACTATTACTACTACAGACAGTTAATACTGTCATAGTCAAAGTCAGTCAGTTCAAAATTAAAGAATACCTTTGTTAATAAATCAATGATGAAATAAGCAGGGGTACCAAGGCAACATTTTCTGGTTCTCATGCACACCTCTCCCAGAATTAGACATGTCATGATAAAAATAATAAAGATAACCTTTGTTAAACATTGATAAGTACACTTGTGTTATTTAACAAGAGAATTCTTGCACTAAAGTGTTAAGGCTTTTATAGAGCCTGGTATCAGTTATCAACATTTTCATTTGATCTTTGTGAATGTAAACTAATGCAGAGTTGTTGAATCAAAATTAGACATTTGTTTTTACATGGGAGGACTTTATGTAAAGTATCATAGGCACATAGAAACAGCCTTTTGCAGCTTGCCGCTCTCTCTTTCTCCCTCTCTCTTTGACTGTCCCTTCACTTCCTTGTTTGTTTCCCTTCTGTCTGTGGATCGCTACAGTGGGGGGGAAATGGAATTGGGCCCAAAAGTTTTATTACTAATAATAGAAAGAAAGCAAGATGAGAAAGAAAGTGGTGTGTTCTGTCTGTCAGTCTCTTCCACTGTTTTCAGAACCTTAGACAGTGTTGACTGCCACAAGCAACATTGACATATTTTTACTATTCATTTAAGGAAGCTTAATGTGCAGCACATAAAATGGTGGCATGATAATAGGACCCATTATGTTATATTTGAACATATAATGTAATTGATTGCCTGTAAATTATCCTGTTACAGTGTTAATTTTTGTTGTTGCCAAAGATGTCTTTGCCACTTCATTGTAAATGACCACCTTATGGGGACATTTCTGTGTCCACACAGGAAGACAGCAGATAAGTGGACTAGTGGAGAACGCCATTAGTGGGAACTCCATGGGTTCTCTCATCTACCAGCCCTCAGGCGATGGAGAGGCTAACATGATCCACATGACCCTGCCTGTCATTGCAACCATATATTTGGACAAAACCAACCAGTGGGAAACTGTGGGCTTTGAGAAACGTAACGAAGCCCTCCAATACATCAAAACTGGTAGGTTACATTTGTTAGTACAGGCACCAGAATTTAACAGGTCTCCCTAAAACTGGCATCCAATGGACAAGATTAAGTACAGTTGAGTAGCAGTCCGTAAAAAGGTTGTGTGTTTTTGTTTGTGTCCAGGCTATAGCAACGAGCTTGCCTTCCGTAAAAAGGATGGGTCTTTTGCTGTGTTTACCAGTCGCCCAAGTAGCACCTGGTGAGGCAAACGTCTATAAACTTGAACAAAATATGTTTAACGTTATTGGTTGTTTAAATGTTGGATATTCAAATAAATAAAATATATGTGAAACTGTTTCACCATTTCTCCTCTCTAAGGCTGACAGCTTATGTTGCTAAGGTTTTTGCCATGGCCAGAGATCTGATGGCAGTGGAAAACTACGTCATCTGTGACGCTGTCAAGTTTCTGATTCTAAATGCACAGCAACCTGATGGCATATTTAGAGAAGTTGGACGTGTGTACCATGGAGAGATGATGGTGCGTGCACTAATTTCAGTAACAGTTCTGCCGCTACACAAAAACAATAAAAAGACATTTCCATATGTTTTTGTCCGTGTGCAGGGTGATGTGCAGGGCTTAGATTCAGATGCCTCCCTGACGGCCTTCTGCCTCATTGCCATGCAGGAGTCACGCATGATTTGTGCTGCCAGTATTACTGTGAGTAACTGACCTGCATACATTGTTTTCTTTTCTGCCCTCTTTTATTCCATCCTTTACTCCGTCCTGCCACTTGCTTTTGAAAATTTTTAATATAATTTTGATTGTTCAAATTTTTAAATACCTCTCAGGTTTTTTTCAATCACCCAGTGCTTTGGATGCAATTGGAAATTCATTTGTGTCTTTACAGCATTGAAAAATGACATTTTAACAATAACATCTCTTCCTGAAACAGAGTCTGTTACTCTGGATAATCCACAGTCTGTTAGACAGCCTTTGTTGTTTTTACCTTCAACCATAACATGCTCCTGTTGATGGGTCAGCCAAAATCTGTACTCAAGTAGAAGTACTGTTACATTACTGAAATATTACTCAACTTACAAGTTAAGTCTATATTAGTAAAAGTATTCTTCTCAAAAACTACTGTAACTATAACTAGAGTATTACTTTTTAACCATTAATGCATTATCAGTAGCAGGCATTCAATAAAAAGGGGAACTCCATGTAGAAAATATACTCGATAAACCAGTCAGCCAATTAATCAGGCGATTATCAGGCATTTTAAGATGATCGATGCTGCACTAATGAGGTTGATAAACAAGAAATGTCTAAGACACATCTGCAGACAGGCTTGTTAGCGTGGTTGCTTTGGAACGATGTGAGCACTCCATATTGTGAGCTTTGGGATGGTGGTGAAAGTCTCAGGCATCCATCTGTAAGCCTAAATTTGTTTTATTTTTATGTCAGTATTGGTTCTTAAAGTACAGACAATATCACAATGTGCTTGCCCTATGTAATTGTATTTTTTTTAAATGTTTAAATTAATTAATTAATTAAATTAAAAAATGTTCTCTCTGCCATCGAAAAACTCATATCAGTCGAGGACATTTCTGTGATCCATTCATACCTTTTATCAATTATCAAACTAATGTACAGATAAAGCAGAAAAGCTTTTAAACATGCATAGAAGTCAAGGGCCTTATCTGTCTCTATTTGGTTTCTGTTTATCTAAATCAAGTCCCTAAATTACACCAGTGCTGTTCTGGTCAGTGTGGTCACCTCTCCAAACCTTTTTTTCATGGTTTTCATTGGCCTACAGTGTGTTTTCATGCTGGATTTGCTTTAGATGGGCAGAGAAAACAGAACTGATGGCCAAATGATTGCTGCCGATTGCAACATCTACAAAAATGTTTGGATAGACATCAAACTTAGTAGTAGTACCCAAAAACTAAATTAACAATTACGTGAGGAATTGTAATTGTTTTTTTCGAACCCTGGTCAGCAGTGATGTTCAGAAGACTGCCTGCCTGCCTGTACTCATATGGGTACAAAAGACAGCAGTTACCTGGGTGATGGGAGACTTAGCTGGATGGACACATCATTCAGGACTGCGAACATCTAAATCTTTACTCTGTCTCTCTGCCACTCTCCAAGCCTCTGGATATGGTTCTCCCTCCTCATTAGCTGCCTTTTCCTTCTGTCCAGAGTCTGCAAGGCAGTATAGACAGAGCAGTGGCGTACCTGGAGACGCGTCTGCCCCGTCTCACCAACCCATATGCTGTTGCCATGACATCATATGCCCGGGCCAATGAAAACAAACTGAACCGGGAGATCCTGTACAACTTCGTATCCCCAGGTGTCCTCACACAATATTCCTAACCATGATCAAATATGTGTGTGTGTGTGTGTGTGGGTGTGTGTGTGCGAGTGTGTGTGTACCTTTTACAAATCATCTTACAGAGATAGACACATAGGAACATTTAGGACGATTTGGGGACTTGGGTCTTCAGTGAAGAATGTTGTAAATACAGTATAGTTACAGTATAAGTTAACTTATAGAATAAGTTGTGTGTCTGTGTCTTCTTCAGAGTTGTCCTTCTGGCCAATACCTAAAGGACGTGTTTACACACTGGAGGCCACAGCTTACGCTCTACTAGCTCTGGTCAAAGCTGAGGTGAGCACATCCCACTTAGGTGATTTAGTGTGTTTAACCACGCAAAAAAAAAAAAACATAGTTATTCAGTGTTATTGTGTTAAAGGTCCAGTGTGTAACATTTAGAAGGTTTGACTTCAACCTGTGGTCCTTTGCTGCATTTGCTAATTTAATGATAATTCACCCAGTAATCTTAAAGATTATTCACTCTGAAGCACGTATGTCAACCT